TGTTGCCCCAGGCCCAGCGGTTCATCAACGACTCCCAAGTGTGCATGGGCCGCGAGCTGCTGGAGTGGTACCAGCGTGACTCTCTCAACTGCCACGACTTCACCCACGAGGCGTTCCGCGCCATGTCCCGCTGCTACATTCACAGCGGCTTCTGTGACGTCATCATCAAAGACGCTGTCAACTTCCTCAGTATCTACCAGCCTCAGCATCTGTTCCAGAGAGGAGCTTTGAAGTAAGGCACTATTCTGGTGACACGACATTCAAAGTTCAAAGGCCCATTCCATGAAAAATGAAGCTGCGGTGTCTAATGCACACACACACACAAAACATGAAATGAGATGACGACCTGAAAAAATCCAAAGCTGTGTGATACTGATAGAGCCTGAGCGTGTCTTTGTGTGTGTGTGTTTTGTATTTATTTTATTTTTTTTGGGGGGGTTGTTTTTTTGTTTGTTTGTTTTTTTATTTTTATTTTTAAGAAGAAGCTAACAAGAAGTGAGTATGATGGCTCTATACCTATCAGTATCACTGCTTAGAATTCCTTTCAGTTGGTCATCATTTCCATATTACGTGTGGCACTGCATTTTCGTTTTTCCACGGGATGGCCCCAGATTGTTTTTAAACACATTATGTTTTGTTGTTGTTGGTTGTTGTGTTTTTTTTGTTTTTTGTTTGGTTTTTTTTTTGGGGGGGGGGGTTGTTGGTTTTTTTTTATCCCGAAGTGTTCATGAACTCATTTGCTTTATCAACTTCAAGTTCAAGGTTTCAACTCAATTGCCCGTGGGATAGTAATGCCTTGATAAGTTGGAGCACCATAGATGAGCAGGGCACTCTTATGTCAGTATCATTCATTTTATTTCATTTAGTGCGATTTAGAGAGATGTAGTTCATGTGCATTGTACCTCGCAAACCCCCATGTTGGTCTTACTTTACTTACGTTCGCCTTTGGCCTCTCGTGGAGCAAGTTGTGAAAAGCTTTTTCCTGTCATTGTGAACTTGGGCCAGTTTTTCCGGGAATGACCAGTCCTCCTTGTCTGTAAATTCAAAAACACGAAGCCAAGTGTTCTTTCTCCACCTCCCACCCCCCACCCCCACTCTTTCTGTTGTGAATGCCTGCTTAAGAAAGCCTCCTATTCCTTTACAACCGAGATTTTGTTGACAGGGAAGGGGAGTGGGGATACATGTAATATAAGTCGCCTTGTCCGATATTTGAGGTCACAAAAACAGCCAAGGGACATTTGCTGCAAGTAGTGACTGGTAGGGAAATCACATTTGGTTTATGAATATATATTTTAATGAACGTGTTTTGATTCCACCATCGGCACAAAATAGAATATTTAAGAGGCGGGCTTTCGACTCTCATTGTCAGGGCCAACACTGGCTGAGAGGGATACAACATCCCAGCAGAGAGACCAACAAAGTCTATTAACATTTTTCCCTACTCGGGAATCGAACTCGGGTCTCCTGCAAGTGACCGTGAAGCGCCTAACTGCTACAATACAGACGCATTTTGATATTTGGAAGAATAAGTCAGTATAAATCAGAATGTCCTAGAGCTTTCAGTGATTTTAAATCCTTTTTTTTAAATTGAAATTTACAGTAGCCTATCTGTTTGGTTTGGGATTGTTTGGTTTTTATTTTATTCAATGTGTTTGACTCTTTTGTTTTGTTATATTTGTTTGTTTTGTTGTTGTAGCTTTTTGGGGGTTTTTGGGGGGTTTTTGGTACAGGGGGGGGGGGGTTTTACGACGCTCGCAACTGCATAGGATCATATAAGCCCGCGAGACACACCAAATATTTTCAGTTGGTAGGGAATTTTGAATGTTGCCCAGGTGGCGGCCGACCCTACTCCTATCGATTTTTTTAGATCCCCAAGGAATCTTTAATGTGCGCAACTGGCACACAGGACCTCCGAGATTTTTCACCCTTGTCCGAGACGACTTGATGTAAATATTACCTACCATAAGATCAGGGTTGGGGCTGTAAGACAGCAGTAAGAATGAGCCAAGGAGAAGCAGTAGAAAGGCGGCAGAACGAGTCAGGAACCCATAGAAGGGGGCAAAGGAGGTGAGGGGGTAGGGGCGGAAAGTGGAGAAAAAAGCAGACGACAGAATATTGCTAGAGCAGGAAAGGAGGTGAAAGGAGACAATTTTAGAGAAGAAATTTGTTTTCGTCGCGACCCAGATTCCAACCCTAGTTCTTTGAGTGAGAGGCGGACACTTTAACATCTAGGCCACGAGAGCCCCCTGTTTTGAGTTTGTTTTTCTTTAATCGGCTAAATGATAAATCAAATGAGCTCTTCCTTATGAGACTCCATACTGTCTTGGGTGCAAAGCTGTGCCAAAGTTTTTCTTCCACATGACCCAAGCTTCCAAATAAACTTCCTCATGGCACTCATATAATCTTATGCAGTTGCGAGCGCCGTAAAACCTCTATTAAAACTAAACTTTAAAAAAACTTCCACAGAATGCAAAACAATATCAAACATTTTTTGTTTCCGTTTCAGAATCTGGCGAGAAATCCTGCGGATCACGTACCACTGTGACCCGGATTCAATAAAGGAGATTATTCAGACACTCTTCGAGTCCATGAAAGACTGAAACAGACAACCCACGCCATCTGGTGGCAGATACATCTCTCAACGTTTGCAGGGTTATCTTTTACTTTACTCGTAATACATTCGTAAATCCCTTCCTTTACCCCCCTGTCCCCCCCTAACCCGAGCCTGTTTGGGGTAAGGGGCAGAGGGGTGTAAACTGATCCCCACCCCAACACCATGCGCAGGGGTCGCAACCTTTCTAACCTCAGACTCTCATACTCACAATAATTGAATAGCACACAGAAACTTCATACGACAGAGGTGCCAACGGCAAACAAACAAAAATCCAGATCTGGAACTTGTCGGACCCCGTGAAAACGCGCACGGGAACGCAATACGCACAGATCAAATACGGGGTGCCCACTACGGCTGGGATCGGCCGATCGCCCGACTCGATCGCCTCAAAAACGAACGTGTTTGTTTTCAGTTTCAAGCGATCGAGTCGGGCGATCAGCCCGATCCAGCCGTAGTGGGCTCCCCGTATTAATGTCTAATAGTCTAATACATCTTGAATCAAGGTGGCCAAAATTCGAAATCCAGATTTCGGTATTTTTTCCAGAAAATCGGCACCTCCGATCTGACCTCCGGTGTGCATTGTACATTGTGTGATTTTTTGCTTGATTTATCCTCTCTCCTTTCTTCTATTCCGCATTTGTTTTAGGGTGGTGGAGTGATGAGAAAATTCAGTACCACAAATAATCAAGCATTACATGAAATCCACTGATCATGAGGGCACAGAATGCCATCTGGTAAACATAAGCGTAACTAGAACGCACCCAAAAGCCAAGTCCTCTAAAAAAAAAAAAAAAACCCAGCTCACTGCACTGAAAGGCAAACAGCAATGTTTTTTGTTTGTATTTTTGTTATGTTATTAGCATTACAGTTTTTATGCAATTATTGTCAAATAAATGTCCCTATGGGAATCAATACAGGTGTCTTATTCTTCTTTTTAATTTTTTTTTTCCTATCTCTTGGCTTGGCCAAGTGCCCAGCTCTCGAAAGGACCTACGCTACATACTGTATTCGAGTGTAAGTGCCTTTACACTAATAGAACAAAAAACAAAAGAGAAAAATCAGCTAAACTGTTTAATACTATTCATACATATTTTTTTATAGTAGAGGTTTTACGGCGTTCGCAATAGCATAAGGTCATATGAGCGCCAAGGGGTGGATGTCAACAGAGAAGTCCTTACACTTACAGGGAATCAGGCTTACTCTGCTCACCTCTCTTGCAGCTACACTCTAGACGTAGATGTACATGATGCAAAAGACTGGCGTAAAGATGACCGTGTCGTAGAACAAACTCAGCAGCAACATGTGGAAGCAACAAGCCCATGGAAGACGTAGACAACTGAACTCTTCAGTTAAGAGGGGCTGGGTTTTCTTTAAAATTCATTCCGATTCATTTTTGGTTAAAGTTCCAACTGTTGGGGCTTTAGTTAGGAAGGGTCCTTTTTTTGTTTGATGGTGTACAGTTGAATGATTTGGTGGCTATTTTTAAAAAGAAGAATACCGATACAATGTTTATGAGTAACGTCGCAGTGGAATCAGGCTCTCTCAAATTTAGGGCATGTAGAGTTATTGGTTTCATCCTAAAGCTTGTTCATTTGTCTTGCTTCTGATGAAAAAAATATCCCATGATCTTGAATAGAACTCCAGATATTTGCGAATGAAGGAGGCAGGGCTCACCTGGCTTCAGAGCTTAAATTAGTGAGAAAATGGCTGCCGAGGACAAGTTATTTCCTTAGCTTGAGAGTCCGGAGAAACTTAAAATTTACATTTTTTGTATCTTTAAATAACATTTTTCAGTAAAATCCACACAGAAATTCGTTCTTTAATGGGCGTGAAAAGTGTTGAGCCAAAAAAAAAAAGAAATTTCAATAAAAATTCAAAAACTTGCAGGAAAATGCCAGTTTCTTTACTCAGATTATTTCAATGAGCGCCCGATTTCACCACGCTGCCTCACATATAATGAGCGTTGAGAAAAGCAAAACTGTTTGTTGTTACCAATAAAACAAGATGATGAAGTTATAATAAAAATTGTATTCTTAAAAATATTTACTTTTTTAAAGTTTCAGTAGGTTTTACGGCGCACGCAACTGAATAAGGTCACATGAGCGCCAGAAGAAGAGTTGTTACAAGAGAGTAACAGACATAAAAAAGAAGGGGAGATGAGGACAATAGATGTTTGATTGGAAAGAAGAAGCAAACCACACCAGAGCACCCGCCAACCACCCAAAAAATATTGGCTTGAGATGTTTGCAGTTTACTTTCTTGGTAACAAATTTTCAGGGTTTTTTTGGCTCTGCTGTAAAATTGTAAAAACTGCGTATACCGGTATACTGTACCAGTATTTTTTTTAAATGACAGTAGTGCTGTCTGAAAAAGGACATGCCTTAACCCATGAAAAAAGTAAGACAGACAACAAAAAAAGAAAGAAAAGAAGTAGGATACCAGTGCAGACCTGCCACTCTATGAAACCTCAAAATCAGGATCTCGGGGAGAAAAAATCGGGATTTGGTGGAAAAAAAATCGGGATCAACAGGAAAATCACCAAGGTGACTGCCAAAGCTGACTTAAAATTTGTCCAGGGGTGTCCATAAATTACTTGGCCTATATGCACTCTAAGTGTCTTTGTTTGCGCACGCGCGTGCGAGCGAGTTATCATTATTTTTTGTAAATCCTGAAGCATCACGTCAAGCACTCCTTCTTTCTAGTCTAAGTGTCTATACCCCCCCCCCCCCCCCAATAAGTCCCGAAATACATGAACTTAAGTTGACCCCGTCAACGGACGGTCCCCGACACGCAGAACTCACACGGCGATGTCATACCACGTGACGCAAATGCGCGATTGAAACACTTTTATTAACGGGTCCGACTAATTGCGCGTTCACACAAAACACTCGGATGAGCGACAGTCGTTCTACTTCTAGTACTCTAGGATAACGACGACGGCCGACCGACCAATTGTACCAACAAATCTCTTATCCCTCATATGCGTTCAGACTAAAGCAACGACAACGGCCGTATGTTAGTCTTGTCAGCGCGGTTACATATAGTTCTGTAAGGGTTAGAAAGACTGTTGCTCGTCCGAGTGTTTGGTGTGAACGCGCAGTTACCAGACCTCGGACAAGGATTGTTTTGAAAGTAACAGCGGTACTACGAATATTATCGATTATTTGTATGTGCCAAATTGTAACAGTTACCAGGCTATCATCGGAGAATTCTGAGTGTGGGCAAAGATCACACACAACTTGGGGCGAGTCAACTACTAAATGCAGCATCAATATTTCGGGAAATAGTGCCCCGAATTCAAACTGACAAAAAGTTCAACGGGTGCTTCCCACGATAAAGGAGAAGACAGTAAGTTTTTAGAAAAATCCTGCACAACAGCAGACTGGGACAAAAAAATCGGGATACACGCGATCGATCGAAATCGGGAAAATCGGGATGCTTGAGATTTGGGGCAAAAAAATCGGGATATCCCGACTAAATCGGGATGAGTGGCAGGTCTGCCAGTGGCATCTTTCCACCACCCACAATGAGCAGATAATGACAAAAGCAACACTGAAAGAAAAGAAGCAGTCCACAAAAGTACCCCTAAATTCTCCAAACAGCTTCAGGAAAAAAAAACAATCTCTAAACTTCATTTACAAATCAACTGACACACTAACAATCAAATTACAATTTAACAACAACAAAAAAACAATAAACGAGTAATTGTACAAACATTTTATTTTTCATTCTCTTCAAACCAAACGCAGCTCCGCAGCATTCAAAATCGACAAACACTCTTCCCAAAAACAAAAAAATTTGATCAATAAGATTGATGTACCATAAAGGAGAATTTTCATTTCATTTCATTTCATGTCTTGTAATCCCTGCTAGGCATTCTCCCCAAATGTTTTTAAAATTCTTTTTTCACTGCCCAGTTCCAGGACCTAACACATTACCCATACACACTGAAAAATAGAAAAATAGCTTTTTTTATAATATAGGAAAAAAGATCACAAATGAAACCCAGAATCAAATCTTATGTGCTGTACATTACTAAGACTAAGAGGGAAAAACCTTAACCAAAGCCAATATCAATAAGAAGAATAAAAACCTTTGGAGAGTTAAAAATAACTTTATATTTCAGAAAGTTTACAGTACAGCCTGACACCAAAAAATTTTAAAAATCATGACACCACTTCCACTAGAATCAGTGTGCGTAATGTACATAACAATGTCTGACAAATGCTGATGCATTTAAGTTAATGCAAGCACAGAATCTATGAAATAAATAAATTCCAGATAATTCTACCTTTCACACATTTTGCACACAACGCAGAACTTAAGTTATTCTTTTCCACTTCTGACAACAGCAACTTGCAGCCCTCCTCTTCTCTCACAAACAAACGCCGCTGTCTCACATTCAGAACCAAATTCACGCAGAATCACTCTCTCGCTTACAGAATCACGAGCATAGAACCATGAGGTGTTATAACTGACAGAAATCAAGGCAGGACAGAACACTTCCATTGTAATCAAAGCTGCAGGAGAACAAGTACCCTCGAAAATCAAACTAATAGATCTAGGTCTAACCACCGAGCAGTACAATACCATGACATTTACGTCAAGAATTGAGCAAAGTAAGGGTCAGGTCCATAGTATCCCATATTATACTACAAGTATTTCAGAGCCTCCAAACAGTAACAGTTCTGCCAACAGAGATGCAAAATATCAACCCTCCTTATCCGGCGACACAGCAAATGAGTCCACAAAAGGGCATGAAACATTCCACGGAATTACAATCCAAGCTTTTTGAGAAGGACTTCATTACTTCAAGATCAATGAACATCGCAATACATTAGTGACCTAAAATTCAGTGCTTGCCTTCCCAAAGAAGGTAGGCACAAACTTTGAGGCAAACGGTCTTCTATCCCTCTGAGTATTAGGTGAATTTCTCTCTACCAGTTCATTTTATGCTTTCAGTTAAGATGGAGAACCGTTATAAACCCCCCCTCCAAGCATTTTGACTCAAGGAAAGGGATTCTGACACATGCTACCCGCATTGCATCATGTGACTTATGAACAGGGCAAACATCACTCCCATTCACCAATTCCAAGAGCCAATGAGCCCACTTTCATCCTCAGACAGAAAAAAAATATCACAAGCACACAGAGTCAGTCACTCATATACAACACGACAAGGTCTTTCGTGAAGTTCCAAAGTCTGCATCAAAATATTACTATTTCCAATACGGTAGAAATCAAAACCCTAATTTCTTTATGTAAACCGGATGCTTTTAGATCTGTCAAAGTAACTACTGCTATACTGTTATAAATTGTTATCTGTGTTGATTAAAAAAAAAAAAAAATCCAAGCATCATCAAAATATTCTACATATTTATCTGTCTGTAGACTATTAACTTTTCTATTACAGCCTAAATTTCAAAGTTATTGATTAAAATAACTGTGGCAAAAGGAAACCACACCCAACTCCGAACCTAAAGTGCCCTGGGCCATCACGCATGACAAGCTCACACTGTCTGATACAAGAGCCCACCATGCTTGGCCTACTGCCTGTGTCAGCCACCACACAGAAATGGAACCCCCACCCCACAGCATAAGCACTGTACACGCCACTTAGGCTGTCTTGGCACGGATAGCTGCTCTCTTTCCTGTGACAGCCTGGAAACCGGTCTTGATGCTTGCCACTGAACACCTGCTCCCGCACGTTTCACACTGGAGGAAAAACAGGCGTGTGTCTTTCTGCAAGATAGTCTCCCTTGACCGACACGTATGGCAGGTAACGTATTCCTCTGCAAAGAAGAAGGAATGACCGCAATGATCACAATATTAGCGGATGAAAAACAAAGCAGTAGTTCCACGAGAACTATCCAAATACTGTCAACATTCTCAACTTACAAACAATAGAATATCGAGGCAGAGAGAAAAAACGGGAAAAAGTAATGAAATAGCACCATGTCATTTAGACAAAATAGATACATAGGAAATAAACTCAGACTCCCAGATATTACAAAAATACATCAAGCAGACACATGGCGAAATCAATGGGACAAGAAAATCTTTTTGTTGCGTACGAACTTCACATATTACTAGTTTTAAAAACAAAGGAAATTACAAGTATTATAAGAAAAAAAAAGGAGGACCTGAAAATCTTTTAGTCATGTGCATGCTATACTAGTAGAGATCTGTTCAGCTGAACTCAAAGTCAAGCTACCGACTTCTACAATGTTGAAGATCAAGGGTAGCTTCCTCATAAATTCATTCTTCTTCCCCCAAGCCTTGTATACATCTAATTCTAACCACCCACAACCTTTGACCTTCAAAAACAGACAATGGAGAAACTGTCCAGAAGTCGGCCTTTAAGGTTGCAGTCTCCAACAAAAGGATGTAGCCCCCAGAACAAAACCAAAACAGTGAACACTTACTGATGTATCTCCTTAAAACATTCTCAATCTGTTTCTGTGTGTATTTGCCTCTGATGATCAACTGGTTGTTTCCATCCACGGAACCACTGAAAAGGAAGAAAGAAAATTAATTTTTAATGATCAGGAGGGCAGGAGGGTAAAAATGAAATTCATGGAGGGCATTTTTACAGTAGAATTTGTCAGCACCTGCTCCACAACCTAGCCAATATTTCATAAAGTGAACAGATTATAAATGTTATAAACTTTGGAGAATATGTAACAAGGATACTTATAGCTGAATGAAAAGAATCTTTAGTCCAACTTTTCCTATTGTATAAAAAGACACTGCATATCCATGTCTTTTAAACTAATTTGTGGAGCCTGAAAACTCCAACCAACTATCCTTACAAACTCAACTTATCACTAGGCATCAAACAGAAGGGTGAAAGCTTAGAAATGACATGATCAATAACCTCATAACTGAACATTCCAATGGATCTGCAAAAGCATGTATCTCATTTCGAAACAAGAAGCATATTTTTGCAGATCCATTATCACGTAAGGCAAGGAAATGTTGAGAGGTGAAACTCAGCAAAAAACAAAAGGCGGAGGAGGAGCTGATCCTTCCGTCTGACATTCCCAGACATTATATAATAATATATAAAATGTACATTTCTTGATGACTGTTTACGCAAAACTGCCCTAGGAAACTGATCGATGTTTAACTGTTTGCAACCAAGAGATGAATTAAGAAATGAATTTTATGAAAGAACTCACCTTGTACCCAACTCAGCCAACAGGAATGCCAGCACGTGCTTCGGCTGTCTGTGTAACCTAAGAGAAGACGGAAGAAACAAAAATTGTTATAAAATGTAAAAATTCAGGATGCTGTATGATTTTGTGCTAGCTTAACTACCTACTTCATTTAGATCCTACTGATCATCACGGTCAAGACACACACTTCATTCATACTAAGCTCAGGAAATTACTGCTGATTTCTTCACAAAACAAATTCTTCATTACTATGAAAACATTGACACAGGGGTATGCAACAAAGCTCAACAAAGCACTTACATAATTTCAAAAAACTTAAAATAGAACAATAAGCTCCTGTCACTTTTCACTGTGTGAAAATTATGGTTTTTGAGTAATAGTAATAGGCATATTTGGCTTCTCCATCCTCTCTTACAACTATTTCATAGAATTAGAACCCCTTCAGAAAGCCTTATTTCTTTCCATACTCGGCATGTTTGTCACCACCATTTCCTCATAATGTCAATCTTTTATTTTTTTTTTAATCGCCCGTTTTCTCAAAACGCAGTTTTTCTATAAACCTTTTAGAATAACTCCATTTTTCATGCAATCTACATGAAATTTTCACGGAAAGAAGAGAGGATGTTGAGTTTTCGATATATATAATACATTTTTGTTGGTGATGTCACGGGTGTGGATTTTCAAGAATTTTTTGCAGACTTCAACACTACCTCAGGTAAAAAATTCATTAAAAATCTTATAATTCGTTCAGGAAAAATTCAAAGGACAAATTTGTAAATCTTATGATAGTTAACATGTATGCAATAAAAAAAAACCCAATCTATTTCCGTGAAAAATAAGTGCAGTATTCATCACGCAAGACATGTAAATAAAATCCAATATAACCCCTGTAGCCGTGGAAACGTAACTTTTATCTCAGATTTGATGGCGGATTTTAAGACTCATTACTATGCTTGTTATATGTTGTGTGAAAGTTGGTAAAATTTTATCCACTAATAAGTGAGATAGCCTTCAGGTGTAGCCCCCCCCCTTTCAACCTCCAATTCTTGGATCCCCCCCCCCACCATTATCCTACCTTGTATAGAAGACATTCCCCTTCCTTACCCAAGACACAATTGCAACCTCCATCTCCCTCTAACCCTGCCCCCCCCCACCCTCACATCAGCCCCTTATCCTACCTTGCACAGAACACATTTACCATATTTACCCACCACCCTGTTTTAACTTCAACTTCCATCTGCTTCCAATCCTCCCCCTCCCCCCCCAAAAAAATAAAATAAAATAAAAACAAACAAACAATCTCCTTCCTTGGGGAGAACACTCACATC